AAAGGGTTATTCGTTTGATTCAATGCCTCTTCCTGTTCCTAGAATTTTAATTTTTTTTGTATTCCAGGTAGTAGATATTGCGAAAAAGTACACTGGGAAATCAAATGAAACAGAAGCTATCCAGGTATTTCGCGATATACTGAACTCCTCCAGCATGTGGCACAACAATGGCTCTTTTCCCAAGAACGAATCTGATGAAAATGCTTTCAAGAAGTGTACAAGTCCTGAGACAGCTGCTCAGTTCTGTCCAGTGAGGTGGAAGGCCGTCAACAAGTATGAAATTTGAGTTGTTTTTAATTACTTAGGGGGTATCAGAGCAAGTTTCGATTGAGTGCAGAATTGCTTTCTTTTTGCCTTACTTCGTGCACTATGTGATTGGTCTAGAAAACTTGCACCACTTTTTCAAACTATCGTAATCAAGACTAAAATCTATAGTGACTGGCGTGGCCATTTGCGTTTTCCCGCGCTAGAAGCAGACTGCTTGATGTTACTTTGAACCCTCATGGGCTTGTTGCAATATTTTCTCTTGATCTGATTGGTGGTTGGGTTTACTCTTGTTTTTTTTTCACGACACTCAGTCCCACTCAGCAAGTACAATGGCATTACCACCTATGGAGGCATGCCTTAGGCAAATACATCATGCCAGTATTTACGTTATCAACTCAGTTGATAATACTGAATTACCCTGTCATATTTTTTCCACCGACGCAGCACCACAGTTTCTTTAGAAACTTACCCTTTTATTTTTGTCGTTAATTCAGCTTTTTCTCTTACTCTTCAGCCGTTCATTGAGTTGAAATTTGAAAGCCTAACCTTGTATATTTGTTCACTCCCAGATGGGCGCGGTACTGTCGTCAAGTGATGGGGATGCTTTATCCAAAGATCACAAATGCGTTCTATTTCACTGGTTCCAAGAACACAGTTCCAAACTGTCCTGTAGAGATGTTACCACATTACAATCCTTCCAATGGAGCTCAGTTTTTTATGTTATCTGATGCAGAATGTTCCAAACCCACTTACTTTGGTCTTCCATTCTTTCTGAAAGACTTCGGCCCAATCTTCCAAGAGTGGTCCGTTACCGGTCATGAGGCCAGGCCTGGTCACCATACTCAGGTGCAAGGTAGGTATTAGTTGTTTGGTTTTTCTCAGCAACTTGGAGTATCGATACTCCCTTTCGATGGGATGTTTCAGGTTCCGCTGACAGCTTTCTGGAGCCTGCAGTGCAGGCTTCTTATGCTGGAGTTAACGTTATAAGCTCGCGCTCCTTTATCCGACCGGCCATGATTCGTTTGGAGTTAGATGGTGGGGGAAGGAGGAGGGAGAAGGGCGAGCACTCCCCCACCCTCACCCCTCTCCTTGTTTTTGACCGTCGACTGCCCCCTTGGTACAAATTTCTTACTCTCCTCAGCCTTCCGATGCCATTAAAATCGAAGATGGCGACCATAATTTCGTTGAGAAAATACTGAGCACTCGCTCTGCAGGCCAGCTTTCTGGTAGCCATAGCACTCTTGGGTGGAAATAGATACTGTAATAGGAAATATTCTCGCTTAGGATCATAACATTACGACCCTTGACTGGTATCGAATCCGCACCTTTCAGTAAGCAACCAAGGGCGTGAACCACCAGGCTACCGCTTGTCCGAAAGTGGAGGAGGCTTTCTCAACTAATAAGGAATCCTTGTTGGGAAATCTTGGCTATTTTTTGTGGGAGATAGTCCTCTGACGAATCAGGAAACGAAGAAAAGGAAAACAATGTGATTCCGGATTACGTGACTACCGGTACATCACTAGGATTCGTTTGAGTATTGACTCATGTATTTTGGTGTGCTTTCAGGCCAAGTAGAGCACTTTGCTGACCAGTGTGGAGGAATACCAGGCTGGCTGGATAACAACACATACTACACCGCTTTCACTGAGGGCTGGGGATTATACAGTGAAAACCCTATTCTCTCTGATGACACGGATACGTACAAAGACAACCTGCTGCAGAAGTATGGCATGGTGAAATGGCAGGTATGTGTGAAACTTGAGTGATTTCTAGGTTCCACTCTACCCATTTATTCTGTACACAGGAATAATATTGTATCTTTTGCCTCGCACCCACGAAGTATGCGTTGCATTACCAAAATCTCTTACTAAGATGGTATTCTTTTGAAGTGTATTTCTGATATACACCATTTAAAGATTGTAATAAAAGCAAAAGAAATAATTGTGGCACAAGAAACCACAACAGAAAGTCTTGTCTAAACAGGGCAATCGTAAAGCACCAGCGTCTTAAATCTGTGGTATGCAAGCTTAGTTATCATGGCGCCAGTTTTGAAAAAATTGATAAACATGTAGCCTATTAAGTAAGTTTCTACAAGTAGAGTTATACTTAGCATTCACGTTTTTTTGTCTGCTTGTTTCTTTGTTTGTTATTTTTGTCATGCAGACCTGGCGTGCAGTACGACTTATTGTGGACACAGGGCTGCATTATCGAGGTCTCAGTAGGTAAGTTCATGTTCCTGTCATGTTGTTTGTGGTTGACTGTTTTTTGAAAGCTGTAAGCTGCAAGTTGTACTGGTAGCTTTTTCCAAAATTCTCACACCTCCACCCCAACGATGCTTTTTGCGAAGTCGCACAAAACAATATTTTTTCCTTTAGAACTGAAGCCCTTGCGATGTTCGAAAAATATGCTTGGGACACTTCGGATTTTGCAGTGAAGGAAGTTACACGGTACCAGAGCGTGCAAGGCCAGGCAACGGCGTACATGCTGGGGAGACTGGCGCTAATGCAGCTGCGTAACAAGACTAAGGAAGCCTTGGGGAAGAATTTCAACCTTAAGGATTTCCATTACCAGGTGTTAAGTCAAGGGTCAGCTCCGCTGTCTTTCCTACAGTCTTATATCGATAGGTACATCAAGTGCATGAAAAAGGAACTTGGGAACGAGGAGTGCAGTTATGTGCTCAAACCGGTTAGACCTGATAAAACCGCTAAAGCTGAAGTGTCTGCTAAGCAAATGCCCCCTATGATTGAAAAAAGGCACTATGTTTAGCCCGCCCAAACTGCTCTAGGTTGTTTTTCAGCGTTTTTGTTTTTTTACATTAGATCGTTTATCGATTGTATCAAATTGTTTTGCCTGAGATGTGTTTTTTTTTTCTTTTTCATGCTAGACTACCTTACGCACTCTTGTAAAGCTCAAAAACTTACTATTGATAAAGCTTTGCAAAGTTATAATTTTCGTGATAAAATATCATCTGTTTAGTTTGTAAAGCACCGATGGCTTTGTAACGGAACTGCAGTTTTAAAAAGAAACAGCTCTTTTTCAAGGGGCCGGCTGTTAGAAAGGCGTTCAGCGCGAAAACTAGAATTTAAAAGTCAACCACTGTGTTAATTTCTTTCTTTTAAATGCACATATTGGAGAAAGGGTTAAAGGGGTTTTAGCCCGACATAAAGCAAAACTGAAGAAAATAGAGTGGAAATGGCTTAATTGTCAGCAAATCAAATAGTTCTATCAAATATTCGCACTAATCCTGGGTTGACTTAATCGTCTTTTGAACATACCGGCCCTCGGCCAGATTTTCGGTTGTGGTAATCCAGTTGTAAATGATACTATTAAAATTACATAGTCCCTCAACAGTAGTAGGCTGTTCTCTGGTTTAACTTAAATGTTGTTTGTTTGCGGTTGCTTAATTGCTGTTCCGTTGCGCATCATCGTTAGTCGGCCAGTATGGACAAAGAGTCGATATTTGCGATGGGAGAGGCGCAGAGCAATGTCCCCTTCCCCCACCCCCTGAGGTACCTAGTTTGAACGTGTTCCAAGATTTGTCTTTGAGATGGCTATTAACGAGGGAGAGCGCCCTCTTATCGATTAATTTCCTCCAAAGTCATTTCCGCGGTTTGATCTCCCCTGAGTACCGGTTTGAATGCCATGAAATTTCAGGCTTTTTTTCTAAACTCTCCCCGACTTGTGACCAAATGGGATTACTGTCACATACCACCCATGCGGACATGTTTATCAGTGTCATCTTTTCTTTGATTCAACCGAGAACATTAAACTCTCTTTTCTCCTGAATAACAGCCTGCGAGCATGCTACAGCTCGAGCGCTTCTTCGTCTGCCAGTAAGAGAGGCTAAAGAACACTCGTACTAAAGCGCTGATAATGACGGCTTACTCGCAGGCTATTGAATGACATCTTGATTATTTTTTTTTCTACTAGCAGGCTCGTTTAATTTTTTTAACTGTAATGATTACAGTTCCTGAAAGAAACGACATTACCCACTTTGTCATTTACCTCCCGCCTAAAGTAGTATCATCCCGATTTCGCTTTTCATTGGAGGTGTCTTGCACCCTACCCGAGGGGGATACTTGAGCGCTGACTATTCAAAACTGATTAAAAGACAAACAAAGCTGATAAAGTCGCAGAAGTAAACATGGTTAGGAATTGGAGATAGATTGAGAAATGGGTCTCCTTCAAAGACCTCCCAAACAACACGGAGAGGTACAATGTATTTCTGGCTAGGAAGTTTTCAAAATTATCCTTTTTCCAGAACGGGGTATAATTTTGTCGTTGCAAATGTAAATTCTTTCGAAAAACGAGGTCCACATTTGGAGATCCGGGTAGCAAATGCCCAAAACATACCACAGAAAGCTTCTTTTTAGAGTGGGAAGGGGGGAGGGTTATTTATCACTATCATTTAGTTTGTTTTCCAATTCAACAAAGAAATCCGGTGGTCTCCCTGATCAAACCAAGTAAATATATTCCGTGAAGTATGCCGCAATTTATTGTTAAATTCCACAGCAAACAGTAGATTCCACTGAAATGTAAGTGACTTTCGTTAACATAACGCCTAATTCCTCCGGATTAAATTTAATCGGCTTTTGATAGACCGGATCAGTCCGAGAAAGGCACCAAGTTTATCCTCACTAGACCCCCACTGAGTAAAATATCTCCCTGAGCGGAGAGTCCAGTTTGGACAGAGAGTAATTCATTAACATACCAGCAATGTATGCAAAATCGTGACAAGACAAATTGTCCATTGAACAAGAAATTTTTTACGCTTGACTGGCTTTGTGTTTGTCTCAGTTCGATACGCAAGGTTTCTCCACAGTTGTTGTGGTTTTTCCCTCAAATGCCTCTCAGACACCGTACCTCTGCGAGAATTAGCCATTCCGCGTGGGTTAAGTGAAGGAATTTTGATAGACAAGGGTATTTTATTACACCACTATAATCGCCTTCGTGCGCAGAGTGCGTGTCAACGTGAGAAATCTTCCATCGGGTTGTAAATGAAAGTTTGTGCTTCAGATCATACAAGGAATACTTTCCTCTGTTTAGGAAATGAGGAATCCTACAGGTAGTCATCGTGATGCTCCACTCACTGTCAGCTTTCCAGTTCCGAAGAAGGCAGCAAACAAACTTCGCAGCTTGGCGATTTCCAAGGATCGTCGCCTGCTTGATCTGGGTGTTTTAGCTGTGCAGATCAATGAAGGAGAAAGCATTGTTCTTGGGATTAAGCTGGGAAGGCGAAAACTGAAGAGAACGGAAGTGGAATCCAACAAAACTAAGGGAAATACTTGTAAAGGAAGAATAACAAAGAGGCATTCGTCGTTGCGTAATTTGGGGACTGTTCACCATATGCCGACATCTTTGTCGCATGCAGACAAACCGGCAACCGCGCAAATCACATCGTTCTCTTCACCTAATCACAAGGACGAGAAGAGTGCAAGCATAAGAGCAGGTAAATCTAATGGAGATGCTCCGGCAAATGAATTATTCAGCAGCATGATCTCGGGCACAAGCGACAAATCTACGAATGGCTCCAATTTTCAACTATCGGATTACAAAACTCGTAGTGACAATAGAGTTCTGTCAGTGAATGGAGTACTAAGTTCCTCCAAAAACAAAGAATCTCGGCTGGATATATCGCACAGTAATGTTGGCTTAGCGAGTGGTAGAGGTTTTTCGAGTTCAGAGTCAAACTTACGGAAGTCTAGTAGCGGAACTTGCAGAAATAGCCGCGAGACACCTCCAAGTCCTGCTGTGATTTCTGGAAGCAGATTTTCAGCAGATCGGCGTTTATCTTCTCCTAACGGTCAAAGAGCCAACAGTGCAAGTCCTTGGTCAGAAACAAGTAGCACTAGCTCGGATGAAAATCTGGAAGAGGAAGTTCGTCAGCTGATTTACAACTGCTACATGGATCAAAGCAAATACAGTGCTGCAGACATGTTAAAACAGCTAGCTAAAGCACATACAGGCACTAAAGAAACCAGCAAGTCTACCATGGGAAATACTTCTGTTTCTTCATCTGAAGTCAAAACTGTAACTGTTACTCCAAAATCTAGCTCAAATAGTAGTATTTTATTAGGGCAACCCAGAATCTCATTGAGCAACAAGAGAGCAGCAATAACTGGAAGTTACCGTGAGCATGTGAAGAATATCCGTTGTTATTCTCTCACGTCCCTTACTACGAACACAGTAACAGTGAACTCTACTTTGAATGTGCCATCCAGTACAAATTCACAAGCAGATACATCCCAGAGTTGCAAAGGGAGTATCACAACCAATTCACTGAGTTTTGGAGAAAGAAATTTACCCACGAAACCTACTACCCACTCTACATCATCTAAGGCTTGTACATCCTCCCAAACACTAAACATTCTTACAAGCTCTTCTCAAACAACACCAGCCTATCATGGAGCACGCAAAGTATTGTGGTCAGGTGCAAATGTTTTTCCAGTCAACAGATCAACTTTAGGATCTTCCTTAGAAACTGCGTCTAGTGAGACTGCAACTTCACTTTTGCAAGCATCAAAAAACAATTCACCATCCATTTTTGCACAGATTAATGCTGCAACTCCTTCTCAGACAACCACATCAGTACCCTTTGAGACAAATAATTCTGTCTACATCTCTAACAAAGTTCCTGAAGAGGAACTGGCTAAAGAGAGCAAAGTGTTGCAGAGTGACTTGAAAACAGTCATAATGAAAACTCCAGCATTGGCCCTTGATTCACAAGAATCAGTATCCCTAGCTAAGCCAATTACCAACAGTCCACAAGCTGCAAAGCCTGTAGTATCTCCAATTGTCCCACAGGATGGTAACAGCGTTCAAACAGTGAGCCAAGGAACCAAATATGTGCAAAATCTGACTCTTGCAAGGTCAGCCTTGCCGGCTGCTAATGTTGTTATTGCTGGAACAAACACTCAAACAACTTGGTCCAATCAGCAAGTTTCTCCAACATATTTTTTAGGTGCGCAAACACAGTATGGTATCTACCCAGCAATGTACAACACAGATGTTAACAACAACCAACTGGCACAGCAGGCAGTTCCAGCTGGATACCCTTTGAACTATGTTTATCCTATCAGTATTGTGTACCCTTATCTGTCAGTAGCACAACCCAGTGGTGCTAAAAATCCTGATGGTGAGGAAGTCAAACAGGAGAAAGGAGATACAGATGTGGAGAAATCAGACACATCTGTTTCACGTGAAGCTGCAGCAATGCCAAGGAACGATTCTTCAATGTCAGTTCATCAAGGAAACAGTTTGAACACTGCTGGTTTGGTTTCAACCAACAGTAACACAGCTCCTGTGCAGACACAGTTTATTGACCTGGCCAGCTCCATGAGATACTGGCAACAGCTCAATTTACTGTACAGAAGTAGACTGCAAGCACTAACTCCTGGCAGCCTCTCAAATGTCGCTGCAGTGCCTTCCAATTCAGCAAATATAACCTCTGCAGCTGTGACATCAACTTCTGATTCAAGTTCAGTTGTATGTGGAACAGCTGTGGGGTCTAGTCCACAGGAATTTCCATTTTCTAAGTCAGAACTGTCACATTCAAACATTTCCAGAAGTTCTTACTCTGAAATCTTGAAGAAGGTGAAACCCGAAGAGGGATCTGAACTAGGACAAAGTGACTTAAAGGAGTTAACCAATGACAGACCTTCAGTCATTGTGGCAGCTTCATGTAAGGACAATGCTGTTAAGATGGAAAACAATCAAAATGGGACACAGAATGAAGGCCAAGAGCTTAAAGAACTGAATGAAACATTTTCTCCTAAATTTCTCCCTGGAAAATTGCAGCACTTTTCCAATGAAGATCTGGCAGAAGGAAGTAGTCATGTTTCAACTCCAACTCTGAGCTTTGTCCATGACAGTTCCATAGCATATGTGAACATTGGGAACAGTAATGGTAATGGATACAGCCATGCAAGCTACAGTGGGAATCTTGTGGGAACAAGAAGATCATGTAAGTTAAATTATTTAACTCTCAAGATCTCATTAGAAATTTTCACTTTTAAATACTGTAAATGACTTAGAGAAGATAGTGCTTTACAGCTGATATTTTTTGGAGAATTCTCAATGCCTGGTTGCTGAATTGTGTATTAGAATTACAAGGAGTTGCTTGTCAACCACTGCTAGGAGTTTAACCCTTTAACTCCCAAGATCTTGTTAGTAATTCTCCTTACTGTCTGCCACATAGTTCTTGTGATGTTAGTTTGGGGGATTTGGTATTGGATCAACTAATAATCCCCTAATCAATATTTTTCTTTATTCTCATCACCTGTCTGCTTGATATTGTATTGATATTGTAAGGAGAAATTAGGTCATGGTCACTCATGGGAGTTAAAGGGTTTAGACTGAAAGAAATCCTATGGTGTTGTTAGAGAGCAACTCAATTTTTGAGTGTTGTGCAACCAAAACCAAATTAATCACAATGAGAAGTAACCATCATAAAGAGCTAATAAAACAACTAGGTAGTTTTTAACCCTTTACACCCTAACACCAGAATACATAATCTCCACACTACTATGGATATGTAAATATCATATAAATCAACTATGGATTAACCCTGTAGCCCCTAAGAGTGATTAACATCTAATTTCTCTTTACAATATCACACCTGCATCAAACATGAAAGTCATGAGAATAGAAGAGATGATCACCAGCTAAAGCAGCTCTTGATTGTGAACCAAATTCTCCTTGTCAGCCTCTTTGGAAATGTATAGAGAGTAGTATGGAGAATATGCATTCTGATGTTAAGGTGCAAAGGATTAGTAAATGAAGATGAGAGTGATCATTGCAGTTCTGAACATTAACGGTAGTGAAAACAAAGCCTGAAAAAAAATTGGGCTTGTACAGGATTTGAACCCATGACATTTGCAATACTAGTGCATTGCTCTCTGCACTGTTCTCTATACATTTCCCAAGGTCCTGACAAGAAGTATGAGTTTAACAATCAAGAGTTTCTTTGGTGATCAGTTTCTCTATTCACAAGACCTGAATGTTTGATTTAATGGTGCTACATGTACATAAAGAAGAAAGTATCAGCATATGTTTGGCTGGGAAGTGGAGTAAATTTTTTTAAGACTAAATTTAGAGCATGCCATAGCAAGCTGAGATTTTTATTGAAACTGCAAAACTAAAGTCATAAATACTTCTGTGATAAAGTAATTAAATGGAAACACAGTTTCAATTTTGTTGGACATTGATTTCATTAGTTTTCTAAGTCCTTCCAGTGGTAAGATGCAATACAAATGACAATCAGTCAGGTTTACTAACTGTATTCTCTTTTTTTATTTAATAAACAGCTTTGGAAGGTCAAGAGGATTCTATTATTCGGCCTGCAAAGAGGAAAAAAGCCAAGAGATCGTTATAACATCTTTGTTTTAATATAAAAATATATTTTTCATACCCTAAAACTGATTAAAACCTTATATGTCCTCACAAAATCAGTTTTATAGGTATATAGACTAGGTTGAATTATGTTATGCTTATAGTAATACTCTATAGAATCTCTGAGCTAAATTACTCTCTGCATTTATACTTGAGGAATTCTTAATGTTAAACAGGTAAATGAGGAAACACTGTTTTTTGTTATTTACTTGCTGTTTGGTCAGAATCTGTTGATGTTGTTTTTTCGGTTGTAAGTGAATGGTGGTCAATTGTTTTTGGCAATTTTTGTAATTCCTCCTGCTTAATTATAAGTTTACTTATCTAAATGCCACATTTTTATCATAATGTATGTCTTTCTAGCAGAATAATAGGTAAGATGTCATCAGGAGTACAAGGAAATTTAACGGGGACAAAGGTTTCACAATATTCTCCAAGTGATTATTTCTGCAACTGCTTCTTCAGAGTATCCAAGTTTGAAGAACTCAGGGAGAAGATTTCTCTGTGATTGGTAAAACTTTCTATTCTCTGAAATCTTCTACTGCTGTAAAAATCCAAAATGGTTACAGTACTATCCATGCCCATCAGTATAGAACTGTCTGTCTTACAGGCCCCAAGAAGAGATTTAATGATATTTTGTTTTGGTTGAATAGCATTTTTTTCTATTATGCGATGTTCTCAGAGCTAAGATGGAAGAAAATTACATTTTTTATGCTCGTTAGAAATCAAGGAAGTTTAACACCTTAAATTGATTGTTTAACTTCAACTATTACCTACTGTGCAAAAATTCTCATTGAAATTCCAGTACATTTTCTTGCAAATATTTTATGAGAACAGAGAAACTTGTCAGTCAGAGGATGTTCCATTGATTTAAAATGGAATTCTCTGGTCTAATTTACAGGGGAATGCATGGTGGTCAGTCGGGAGAATAACTGATTTGATCTTGGGAGTCATAGGGTTGAATATGTTATTCCTCTCCATGGTGTTAGAAATTTGCCTAAACAACTGTCATTCTCAAAAGCCCCAAACTAAATTTCTAGATAATTTTTATTTCTGCAAATTGATATATTCAAATAATTAGTTATGGTTGTAAATTCTACTAAATGCAATTTACCTCAAGAGAAAAAAAAGGAAAGGAAAAAAAGAGTGTTGTTGTTGGAAAGTGAACCATGCATAGAGAATCTGTTTTTATCGTAACAAATTCATTATGTTACAATATTGTTCCATTTTCTACTTTTCATAAATCTTTGGATTATTTGCCAATAGAAGTAAATATTGATAAATTGTTATGAATATGTTTGAATTTATATTAGAAAATATTTGGTTTCAATAATCTTTTTTTGATTTGGACTTAAATTGCATGTTTGCATAGACTGTGCTCTACATGCATGTTAAAGAATTGTAAAATGTGCAGGTAGTTTGTCTAGATTGACAATTACTTTCTCAGCTGCCCCTAAATGTTGAAGAGTATTTTTCAATATTTTCTTGATATCAAGGGAGTATCTGTTGATAATATTTTCTAATTGACAAAGCATGACTTTGTACTATTGCGAAGTTTTCTTTTGACCATTTTATACTAAGAAAATTGCATCATTATAATGCTATTTTTGTGATTACTCCCAGAAAAGAAACTCAAATATTATTTTTACAATTATAGAATTATTTTAAGAATATCCTAAGTTACAGCTAATACATAAAGATCATTGATTTGTTGATGTTTACTGTTTGGTGTAAAGTTGACATGGGTATAGAGATTTGAAAGTTAATATTGAAATATTATTGTTGGATTTAGTTACGTCATCTGTAATAAACAGTGAAACTACCAAACTATGAGGGAAATATTATGTGTGTAACCCCAACCCTAACCCTAAGCATTTATTGGTAATTCCAATGATTATCATCACTATCAAGATTTCTCTAAAACCTTGTTCATAAGAAGAGAGATTTGAAGCTTCCCCTTTACAGACGTGACCAGCGAATTTTTCGAAAATACGTACGTGAAACGGGATCAGAACCCCCTCCCCTCCCCCGCGCCCTTTTTATTTTCATTTTTTGCTACCCTCTTGTGTTAGCGTGCGAGTCAGTCAGGACCGTCGTTCCAAGCGGTCTCTGTGTTATTCTACTGCGATAAAGAGACTGGGCAATTAGCTAACCCCTCCGAGGACGTTGTATAACCTTATTTATACTATTTAACGAGCCAGTTCTGTTCCGTTTTCTCTCTGTACCATGGGATGAATACCTTGTAGCGTTGTTATGAACCTTTTTCTTGACTCAGAGAACCAGAACTGAACAGCTGTCGAAGGTACTCACAGAAAGTTGCATCAGCAAAGTCGAAGAATGTCGTGGGTTCTCGAGCTTGCTCAAACTGGTAGGCATTTGACCGGTTTGCCGGGAGCTTGGAGGTGCACTGGTCGAAACAACGAAGAGATGGTCGATAAGTTAGTGCATATGGGTGTTATAAGCAGCAAAGAAGTAGAGGAGGCTTTCCGAACGGTTCCTAGAGGGGCTTTCGTTCCCCCAGACTTACAGCTGGAAGCTTACATTGATTCGCCTCTTGTAGGGGACCCACACGTACATATGTCTGCACCACATATGTACGCTACTGTCCTAGAAGCCCTAGATTTGTCTCCAGGTGGGAACTCTTGCAATCAGTTTTGTGTGTGCGTGAGTTTCTGTGCGAATTGATCCTTTCTTCATCGATTACGGCAGAATCACATAATTGTGTCCCGTTTGGACAATGGAGGTTAAGTCTAAAAGATATATTTTGATGACCAACTAACGCTTAAATAATTGAGATATTCTCGTCCTTTTGATATTCCGCTTTCAGTTTCGAAAGTCTAGCGATCGGCTGCGACAAAATTATGAGATGAATTTTTCGGCAGAATAGTTATTTTTTATGATTAGAACCCATTGTATCTGAGGTTAATTACAAACAGAATCTAACTTAGTCCTGGACCTTTTGTTTTTATGTACGTACAAGCACCAGTTTGATCAATATTTCCTGACAGGAATCAAAGCTGAACCATTGTGAATGCCCCAGTCTTTCTTATTTCACCTATGTATTTTTGATTACCTTTAAATAGTTTGCACTTCTTAATTTAAATGCTAGAAATGCGAATAATGACCAGCAGCCAGTGACATGTGATGCGTTTTTTCGACGGCATGGGTCTGTTTCTGTCAAGAGAAGGGTTAACTTACTACTCCTGTCTTTGAATTTGTAATGGCTCTGTTAGAAATAGATCACTGTAGATGCACAAATTGTATTTGAGTTGTGTTTTTGTAGAGCATAAAATCACTTCATGTATAAAATACATGATAGGTTTATATTGCCCCTCCCCCCCTCCCCTGGGCAATGGGTTTTGCAAACTGGTTTGTTTTGTCATTTTATGTGAAAACATTTACATTTGTATTACTGTAAGAACACAACCCAACAACTCTAGCCAGTGCTAAAATACAAATCTTTCTGTCTGCTTCATCTCACAATTAACCTCATGATTGCTAATAATGATCATGATAGTTCCCTGTAAGCACTAAATTAAACATTTCTCCAGTAATTTTTGATATTCCTGTCACTGTGTTCCCATGCATTCTACCATTCTACATGCTAAACAAATTTTCTTTAATTTTTATTTATGTTTTTTGCCAGGTCTGTCATTCCTCAATATTGGTAGTGGTACTGGTTATTTCTCCTGCTTAGCTGGTTACATTCTACAAGCCCATGGTGTCAGTCATGGAATTGAAGTTCACGAGGATCTTGTACAATTTGCAAAGGAAAGAGTGGAGGAATATTTCCGCTTCTGTCCTTCTGTAGCATATGACATTTGTCCTCCCAAGTTTATTGCAGGAAACTGTTTTCGGTTGGATCCATCAGGGTGCTGCTATGACAGGGTTTATTGTGGGGCAGCTTGTCCGCCTAATAAAGTTCCTTTCATTTTGGGATTAACCAAAATTGGTGGCTTTGCTGTCCTTCCTTGTAGAGATCGGGTATGGCTTTTGTCTATTGACTAGCTATTGACTACAGACTGAGGGACTGAAAGACATGACAAAAAATTGAAAACAGAACAGAAACCATTATTATGAACTGAAGCCAAACTGAGTTCTCAGCTGATTTATATAATTATATGCAATAACTTTGAAAATATAGCTGTTGATATAAAGGGATTGTGTTTCTTAAAATAGTATCAAATTTTGCAAGGTAATTTATTGTTACTATGACAATTGAAAGTAATTGTTCTAAAATAAGAGTGGTTTGATAGCTCAGTGTTTTATCATTGTACATTTTCACTTGGAATATGAAGGTCTGAAGTTCAGTTCCTCTTGATGAGTCTTCTCTTCTTTGTACCATGCTTTTGACAAGACAACCATACATCTTTCTTTATTTTATCACTAAGCTTGAATTGTACCATCTTTCCTTTTCTATTTATAACTTTGTTCTGTTTCAATTTTTTTGTCTTTAGTTACTAAAGATTGAAAGGATTTCTGACACAGGAGTAAAACAGACATGTATCAGTGAGGTATCTTTTGCTCCGCTAGTGATGATGGCTGATAGTGAGACTGATGCTCCCAAGCTTAACTTTCCAAAGGAAAATCCAAGAAATAAACCAAAGGTTTGTATAAGGAAAATTGCAGTATATTTTTTTAATGTATGCTTTCATTTCTTAACCCTGTAACTCCACAAAAATAGGATTGTTAATTCTCCCCTCTATTTGCTGCACTGTACCTTGTTAATTAGTTACTAGAAAGAGAAAATTATAAGATTCTAGGTAGATTTACAAGTATTCAAAACCATTAGTGATACAGAAAGTTGTGTAGTTAGCATTATTTTTTGTGAAATGATCATGTTGTAGAGGTGGTATTAACCCTTTCATTCTTAAGATCTCATTCATAATTCTCCTTACTGTCTGCCACACAATTCTTATGACGTTATTTCAGATAATTTTGTATTGGATCGACTAATATTGATATTTTTCCCTATTCTCGTCACTTTTCTGCTTGATATTGTTGATAATGTATGGAAAAATTCTGTCTTGGTAACTCCTGGGAGTTAAATGGTTAATAACTGTTACTGACAATATCTCTGTGGAACAACAGGCTCGGAAGGTTTACCCACCTGCTGATGTACTTGTCAGTCGTGGACAGGCCAGAACGACTTTGGCCAGACTGAGGGCTCTTCAAGAAGCAAGTGGTAGGGGAGACTTGTACTTGCATTATAAAACCTAGCAAGAGTATATGAATTGAAGACAAAAATTTTCATTCCTAGTTCTAATGACAAAATGTGCTGAAGAGTCTTAGTGGAATGTAACTGGTTTTTCTTGGAAGTATTCACACTGATTTACCCATGTCAGAGGAAATATTTCCAAGAAGTACCAGTTACCTTCCAGTCAGATTCCTACACACATTATCTGAATAAAGTTCTATTTGAAGCTCTATAGGTTCAAAAGGTTATGTTTTTTTTTATCTATGTGTGACAATGCTCTTATTTCAAGGCCAAAACTTTTGCAGCACTCCTGTACTGCCATAGTTAAACAGTTAAAAATTCTTGCATATAACTTTTTTTACAAGAGTGTTTTGTGGAGTAGTGTTTAAATCATCAGCTTAATTCTACATGCATTTTGATTGGTTCTCAGTTATGGTCTACTGGAAGACAGACATGGGTAGAAGACATCATAATCAAAAACATTTTGTGTTGTTTTCATATAAAACAAATTTATTTCATTTTGCCTTGGGTCTGTACAATGATAGATCGCAAAAAGAAGTCAGAATGTACGACGCCTCTTCTTCTTTTTTGCGCATTTTGATGTCATCTGTAATCCATTACTGAATAGATGCAGGGTGACATGGAATAATATACTTGTTAACCTTTTTAACTCCCAAGATCAAATTATTAATTCTCCCGTCAAGTTGCCACACATTTCCTTGTAAAGTAGTTATGAGAATTTGGTGTTAGATCTGGATAACAACTTCTACCTGATGAGTTTGAATATTCTCATTATTTATTTGCTGGATAATTTAAGGATATTATAGGGAGAAGTTTCATGTTGATCACTTCTGGGAGTGAACAGTAGACATACTATAGGAAGTTGTAAGTTAAAACCAAGGACTTAAAAACTAAATGGAAAGTTTTGCCTTGTGCCAGTTGTGATTTTTTTTAATGACCCCACTGTGTGTTACAAACACTTCTGAAAGCAAACAAATCATTTCTGTATTATTACTTTGCTTAATTTTCAGAAAGCCTGCATACTTCCCAACCTCTTCCTGTACCATTCTGTTATGTTCCATGTCAACAACAGATCCAGCAATACTTCAATAAGAAATCAAAACAGAAAAAGCAGCCAAGTTCTGTTGTGACATCACCTGTTGATAGAAAGATTTGTTTCTTCGGCTCCCAAGAGGACACAAGAGTTTCAAGTCTGGATCAGACTGGCTGTGACAGTGTTTGGAGCCATCTGCAAGAGGACAAAATATGGCAGACTGTGTTAGAGTATTATTATAGCCTGTGTAATGTATCCAGTGACAAGAGATCACAAGCACTGAATGTTTATATTAAGAAACGAGTGAAACAGAAAAGTGAAAGGCAGGACA